ATTAAGTTAAAAAAAATAATAAAATAAAATAAAATAAAACAATTTGGTTGTTGAACTTTCTCAAGGAAATAGTATTTATTTTAACTGTATAGTCTACTTAACAAGAGAGAATATATTTTATCATCCTTTAAAGTATAAACATCATAAACTTAATAAAGATTTTTAAAATATATATATTTTTTATTGATTTTTTACAGAGAGGAAGGGAGAGAGAGAGTTAGAAACATCGATGAGAGAGAAACATCACATCGATCAGCTGCCTCCTGCACACCTCCTACTGGGGATGTGCCCGCAACCAAGGTACATGCCCTTGACCGGAATCAAACCTGGGACCTTTCAGTCCGCAGGCCGACGCTCTAACCACTGAGCCAAACTGGTTACGGCAATAAAGATTTTTAACAGCCAAAAATCACCCTTTAATATTTCTACTTACAAACCACGCTGAACGGTCAACCAGATTCTCTAACACTAACCTGTTCAGCTAACAGACACTCTATTTATTCATATTTCTATACCACTTGGTTAAAGCAAAAGAGAGTTCTTTGTATCATATATCAGAAATGGATTGTCCATTAATTAGTCCATTAGAGCTTGGTCTTCTGATCCTCTCATAGCTAAGCTACCCACATAACATTGCATTTTACAGTTTGATAAATCTTTTTAAAGATGAGTTCTTCTGGGGCTGGGGCATGGAGAGAAGAGACTTAAGAAGCTACTCTCAGACCTTAGCCACCTGTGGCTGTCCTGACTCATGTACCAGAAAGACATTACTGAGTAAAAATGCCACTGGCTGCCTGTGGAGGTTTCTGCCTATGGGTGACAAATGTTCTCTTTTCTACTATATATATATATATATATTTCAAAGGGAGAGGGATAGAGAATAGAGAGAGAGGAACATCAATGATGAGAGAGAATCATTGATCGGCTGCCTCCTGCACACCCCACACTGGGGATTGAACCCACAACCCAGGCATGTGCCCTGACCTGAAATCGAACCGTGACCTCCTAGTTCATAGGTTGATGTTCAACCACTGAGCCCCATCAGCTGGGCTAAAGAGTCAATTTTTAAAGATAGGCTTTATATATGTCCATATTCATAATGAACATATGTATGATCATTTATTCAAGCAAATATTTGAACACTTACAATGTGCAGGACGCTGTTCTAGGTCCTACGATAAAGTGATGGGCACCATGCCTGGTCCTTGTTCCCATGGAGTTTACATTTTTTGTGACAAATATCCTATATAATAAAACCCTAATATGCAAATTGACTGAACAGCAGAATGACCAGTGGAATGACCAGTTGCTATGATGTGCACTGACCGACTGGGGACAGCTCCTGGGTTGAGCATCTGCCCCCCGCCAGAGGGAGGTGACCAGTGGTGGCAATGGGGGAGGGAGGAGCAGGGCCAGCCAGCAGGCGGCGCCAGGCCACCAGCTAAGGTGGGTGCCCACCAGTCACCCCACAGATGGCCCTGATTGCCGGCCAGGCCTAGGGATCCTACCCTATATATTGGGAACAGTCTCTTAGATTTAAAAATTAAAACCTGGCAAGGCTACTCTAACACTGAAAAAACAGGATGATGCAGCCATGACATGCATGGACTCTGGCTTGCACATTTTGTGGTCAGCCCTGATTCATACACTTATAACTGTGTGACAAAGCCAATTACTTAACTTCTCTCTGCTTTAGTTTTTCTACCAATAAGATGGGGAAAATGGCACTACTGCCTCAGAAGGATCATGTTATGTACTACTTTTTATAATCAGGGCAAAAAAAATGAAGGTGCCCATACAACAGCAAGATGCCTTTCACCTGTATGAAAAGTATGGTCACTGGTGCATGCAGCGTCCCAGATTGTGAGAGGGATGTCTGACTGTCGGTTTAGGCCCGACATCCCCGGAGAGGTCCCGGATTGCGAAAGGATGCAGGCCGGGCTGAGGGACACCCATGCACCAGACCTCTAGTGTTCTCAATAAAGAGGGAAATGTTATGTATATTATTTTTTCATTGTTGTTAATCCTCACCTGAGGACATTTTTTTAAATATATTTTATTGATGTTTCACAGAGAGGAAGAGAAAGGGATAGAGAGTTAGAAACATCGATGAGAGAGAAACATTGATCAGCTGCTTCCTGCACACCCCCAACTGGGGATGTGACCGCAACCAAGGTACATGCCCTTGACCGGAATCAAACCTGGGACCTTTCAGTCCACAGGCCGACGCGCTATCCACCGAGCCAAACCGGTTAGGGCTGAGGACATTTTTTTTTAAAATATTTTTTATCGATTTCAGAGAGGAAGATGGAGAGAAATAGAAACATCAGTAATGAGAGAGAATCATTAGTTGGCTGCCTCCTGCATGCCCCACACTGGGGATTGAGCCCACAACCCAGGCATGTTCCTGACCTGCAATTGAACCATGACCTCCTGGTTCATAGGTCAATGCTCAACTAATGAGCCACACCAGCCAGGCCCGAGGACATTTTTTCCATTGATTTTTAGAGAGAGTGGAAGTGTGGGTGGGAGGGGAGAAAAAGAGAGATGGGGGAGAGAAAGAGAGAGAAATATCATTGTGAGAGAGACACATTGACACATTGATTGATTGGTTATCTCCTGCACAAGTCCCGACAGGGGTCAGGCATCAAACCTGCAACCCAAGTACATGCCCTTGACTGGGAATCAAACCTGAGACCTTTCAGTGTGCAGGCCGATCCTCTAACCTCTTAGCCACACCAGCCAGGACATTATGTATATTCTTATAACTAAGAAATATTAGTAAGGAATGTAATTTAATGTCCTAATTTTCTCCACCTCTGCTCCCTGTCCTTCCCCGAGCAAATAATCTCCTTTCTGCCTAACTCCCTCTAACACAGCAGTAGACATTTGAGGCAGAAACAAATTAAATATTCTTCAAGATGCTGTTGGAAATCCAAAATTTTGCAGAAGTCCTCGAAACTTAAAAAACAACAACAACCATCCCATCCAATAGTAATTGCTATAAACTTTATAAGTTGTTTTAGGGTTTTTTGTTTGTTTGTTTGTTTAAAATCAGAGAAATGGATGCTTGGAAAATTGGCTTCCAATAAATGTCTTTCATCAAGAAATTCACTCTTATCATCCTGCTGTCTTGCACTGGCTACCCACTGGGCACCCCCTGCCAGATGGTTTACACCATCCTCTGCTGAAGCTGAGAGACTTGAGACCTTGTGTTGAAATGGAGGAGAGAACCCTGAAGGCTGCCCGGGGTCAGTCTGGAAGTAGAAGAGAGTCGCCAGTGTGGGAGTTGGTAAGCTAGACATCACCAAGCCTGCTCCTGTGTGTCAGTGCCTTACCTGGCTTCAGTGAAACAGCTCTTCTCCTTCCACGTGAACAGGATGAGTCCGGAGCATCTTGTAGCTGGAAAGGAAGGGAGTGCTAAACAAACAAACAAACAAACAAACAAACCCCCACAATGACAGAGGTCATGTCAAAAGGACACAGAAGTTATATGAAAGAGCCCCCAATGGCCAAAGCTGGAACAAGTTAGGAAAAAAATAGTATTGGATTATAAACCAAGATATAAAAAAAATCCATGAGTCCATCCTGATATAAATACATGATTAAACAAATGAGGGAGAATAGAAAAATATTCTGTATAGAATAATTCCAAATAATTGATGTGGAATACCTCACCTTCAAGGGGATGGAGCATAATTCCCCACTTAATGCCGGTGGTCTTGATCCAACATCTAGAAGGGTTCAGGAATCTGGAGAAGGCGCTGTGTGTAAATTAATAAAGAGTCCAGAGACAAAACATAATTTTGAAAGGCATTTTGGGGAGTCAGAGAAGACTTAGCTAAAGGAACTAAGTTCTCCTTGTCTCAGGACCCCTTGCTATTTATTAACACAAATTGTCCTAAGGCAAAGTAGATATACATCAAAGGCCAGGGTTTAGTATACAGAATCCATTGTCAGATTGGAAGAATTGCCTACGGCTGTTCAGGTGTTTGGCCAGTAGGAGGCAATAACATGTAGATTAAGATGCCCTCAGCTTTCTGGCAGCAAGCAATCATTTTACGTTTCTTTTTCAGGTTTGGGGAAATGCCCTCAGCCATTTCCAGATGATTCAGCCCTGCTGACATGCTGGAATTGGCTTCTGGCACCCACTCCTTACGTTGGGCTGTGCATAGCGACTTCCTTCCAGAGTACTACATGGAAAGGGAAAAAAGAGTAACTTTACAGTAGTAGAAAATCTGACAAACACTACCTCAGCCTGGTGATCAAGGTCAACATCAACAGTGGTAAGTCATACTGATAGTATGCACCCTTGATATCATGTGATGAAAATGGCACTTCGCCTCTGTGCTTTTCCTCCCCCCAAAACCAGAATCCCAACCTAAGCAAGAGTAAAACAACAGATGAATTCTAGTTGAGGACCATTCTACAAAAGAGTACTCCTCAAACTGTGAAGGTCATCAAAACAAGGAAAACCTGAGAGGCTCACAGTGTAGAGGACCCTAAAGAGGCTTACCTGAAAACCACATGTACTGTGGTATCCTGAGTGGAATCCTGGAAAAGAAAAAGGACAGTAGGTAAAAATTGAGGCAGTCAGAATAAAATAAGAACTTTAACAATAATTTATCAATTAATTATAACAAACATACCACACATCACATTATTAAGACGTTAATAACAGGAACCTGGGTGCAGAACACAGGTGAACTCTGTACTATTTTCTCACTTATTTTGTAAATCTAAAACTGTTCTAAAAAATAAAGTCTATTTAAAGTACAAAATAAATATTCTATCTTCCTGGGTCCCATCGTTGTCAGCAGGATCCCATACACAAAAGAATAATAGAGCAGAGCCTTTCACTAGAAGGGCAAACATGACCTTGTCTATGAGTCTAAAACCTTGTTATATCCTGCATCCACATATGTTGGAAGGCATTTTCTTATATTGGATTTTAATCACATTAGTGCATTGAACCAAATTTAGCAAGATGAAATTTAATGGGATAAGTGTCCCATCCAAAGAACTCTGGGATTTAGCTGACACTGAGATTCGACAGTGTAATAGGATTACTCTCAGCAGCTCAGGAAGCAGACAGGAGCATGGCTAGACAAGAGGTGGCCATGGTCACAGGCCTTCCCAGTGAACTGCTATTGTCTTGATCGTCCTCCCTGATCGGCCATTCCTTGGTCTAGTCACCTCTTGGCCCGATATGATGTTGGCTTCATGCCCATTTTGTGTGTGGGTGTTTACCTCAACCTCGTTCCCAGGCTGACAGCCTTTGCTGGCAAAAAAAAGCCAAAGTAACTTTAGAGGACAGCAACAGGATTATATGTGAAGAGAGTAGCTAACATGTATTGAGTGATTACTCTATGCCAGGCATTATGCTAAATATCTTTCATATATGATCCTGTTTCATTCTCTGTCAAAAGATGTGGCCGCCGCTGAATGCCCGGAACAAGAAGCTGGAAGCGTTGCTAAGTGAGGGAAGGCTGTGCTTATAAGCAGCAGCGTCTCTGAGCAGAGCAAAGAGCTGCACTGACATAGGGTTTAGGCGAGCATGGAGTTCAGGGACTGCTGCTTTTTCAGATGTAAAGGTATCGGGGATGCATTGGTTGGTATTTAGCTCTGGAAACATAGTGATTTAAGTAAGACAGTTGTTGATAGGCTGCCCTTTAGAAGTATAGTGAGGCTACTGCTAATCAACTGTTTTTAAATGTGAGCCGCCACTGGTTGGCTTACTGGTTACTGTGGCAGGGTGTCGTTGATCAATCCAGGTGGGTTTAAACCTGATTCTGATTATCACTTGTTGCTAAAGCCAAAGAACTGGTTCTTTCCTTGGAGTAGAGTATCTTTTTATTATCACTTCCTGAAACCCTATAATGTAGTTACTATTATTATCCTCACGTAGAGATTTAAAGAAACTGAGATTGAATTAAGTAACTGGTTTAAGTCACAAATTAGTAATATGGGACTTAAATGTGGCTCTCTCTCTATACAAGCCTTTTTTCTTAAGCCCGAAATTATATGGGGCTAGTCGGCAAACTCATTAGTCAACAGAGCCAGTTATCAACAGTACAATGATTGAAATTTCTTTTGAGAGCCAAATTTTTAAAACTTAACCTATATAGGTAGGTACATTGTTATTAACTTAATTAGGGTACTCCTAAGGCTTAGGAAGAGCCACACTCAAGGGGCCAAAGAGCCACATGTGGCTCTCGAGCCGCAGTTTGCCGACCACGGGGCTAGGATAAGATGGGAATACTATTGCCCAACCTTGTACTTATCATACCTTGTGTATAGGTGAGGTATTAGTAACTTAGAACATATTCAGAAAACAATAAGGAGGTTGAAAAAATGAAAAATAATTTGTTGCTTTATGTTTTGGTTAGAGTTTGCCAGAGGAAGAGATATATAGGTAAATAGATAAAGAGAGAGAGAGAGAGAGAGAGAGAGAGAGAGAGAGAGATTTAAGGAATTGGCTCATACAATTGTGGGACCAATCAAGTTAGGAATCTGTAGGGAAGGCCCAACATTCTGGCGAAAGTTGATTTGCAGTCGTGAGTCCACATTCTGCAGGGGAGCAGGCTGAAAACTCAGGCAGCATTTCTTTGTTGCAGTCTTGAGGTAAAATTGTTTTTTCTTTGGACAACCTGTCTTTCCTCTTAAGGCCTTCAACTGATTGAATGAGGCCCATCCACTTAGCAGTGGTTCTCAACCTTCTGGCCCTTTAAATACAGTTCCTCATGTTGTGACCCAACCATAAAATTATTTTCATTGCTACTTCATAACTGTAATGTTGATACTGTTATGAATTGTAATGTAAATATCTGATATGCAGGATGGTCTTAGGCGACCCCTGTCAAAGGGTCGTTCGACCGCCAAAGGGGTCGCGACCCACAGGTTGAGAACCGCTGAGTTAAAGTAAAGTGAGTTCCTTACAGATGCAAGATAGCTGGTATGAGGCATACTGCAAGCCCCAAAGTTATTTAAAACTAATAATAAAAATAATATTTTTACAAAGTGATGGAACAGAACCACAAGGATTCTTTGACAATTGTTCTAGGAGAAAATCAAAACTCATGCAGATAATTGGGGGCCCTCCACGTTACAAATCCTGTATGATGAAATAAACTCATCTTCTTCAAAGCTAACTTCTAAGCACGGGAGGCATCTCCATGCTTTCTGATACTGTTATGAATTGTAATGTAAATATCTGATATGCAGGATGGTCTTAGGCGACCCCTGTGAAAGGGTCGTTCGACCGCCAAAGGGGTCGAGACCCACAGGTTGAGAACCGCTGACTTAATGGAAGGATAGAGGGTAATCTGCTGATTTAAATGTTTATTCCTATCTACAAATGCCTTCTCAAACTTCTAGAATAATGCTTGACCAAACAACTATAATGCGTGACCTAGCCATGTGACCTTATAAAATTAACCATTATACTTAATAAAGGTGAATTAAAGGGATCGGGGATATTTAGCTAGAAGGAAAGCCACAGATGGTTCATGATAAATATTTGCAGTAACCTTGTACAGAGATGGGGTTAAGTAGTATAATGTACAGTTTAGGGACATGGTCTTCAGACAAAACTGAAAATAGTGAGCATGAGAATGGATTTTGCAGAACTCACACAGCTATTTAGTGAGAGTGGGGGTTTGAACTCAGAGATTTTGTGCTCTGTGAAGATCAGGTAAGCAGTTCCTTTTGGAGACAGTTTAAAGACTATATTTCTTCCCCTCAGAGTACCTGAAATGTCTCCTTCTTATCCAGGGGTTCTAAATAACTTGAAAGACTTGCATGGAAACATGGGAAATATGTGCTTTACAATCTGAGATAAGTAGGAATGAAGGTGAACCAGAGAACAGGATGTTAAGAAGTTTCCTTAAAATCAACCCATTTAAGGTGCAAAGGAGAAGACTGGGAAAAATAACGCATCCAGTTAAACAAAAGCATTTTATTATCATAGAACCTTTTCCCTGGACCTTGGAATTCTTGAATCAAGCTAAGCCCTCTCAAAATGGGACTAGTACATCCTTAGGAGGAAGATACAAGGTGACACTCCAACACTTCAAATACCAACTTCCATCACACATCTCTTGTTTTGTATTCTTTCAGAATTTATTCAGGACAAAAGTTAAAAGTCAGGCTTACAAACTGCCTATCCATAAACACACAGCTTAGAATACTGACTTAATTTATTTTTACAAATTTTAACTAGCACAATTTAATATTAGACAAGATTATTCATTTAAAAATAAAATGTATTTTGTATGGAGAAGAACAGAGAACTAATAACATGCCAAGCTAATATATGTATGATTTTTTGTTTACCGTAGTAATCTGTAATTTTTACTCTGCTATCAGCTATTTGGTAGGTAATGACATTCTTCTACACTTTGCACTGCAGGTGGAAAATATTGAAGATATACCCATGATTGTCAGCTATGGCCAGGAGACCCGGGAGATTCAGTTCTCTGATGAGGACAAGTTGCCTTGAGTCTGTGAAATGTTATACCAGGCATTTGCTAAATTTGAAGGGAGTAGCAAGTGGTGACAGAATAACAAATGTTTTTCAGTGACCTGTAGCAGTTGTGCAAATGCCAGGAAAATAATTTCCAGGTGATTTCACAGGTATTTGTAATAGATCATAAATCAAAATGGTTGCTGGCTTCTATCATCATGTATTCCACCTTGAATTTCTAGAGTATCCCCTGGACTGTAAATATAAAAGTTGTTCTCAAAAATATAATTATGTCTACTTTCAATGATCCAGCAAAGAATAGACAGATCTAATTCGAACTCCCACAATTACCTCTTACTCTCTGAATGTACCCTGAGGTAAATTCTTAAGTAGAAATCAATTTTAAATTGTAGAAATGGAGCCGTAGCTGGTTTGGCTCAGTGGATAGAACGTTGGCCTACAGAATGAAGGGTCCCAGTTGAGTCTGGTCAAGGGCACATGGCTAGGTTGCAGGCTTGATCCCCAGTAGGGGGCGTGCAGGAGGCAGCCGATCAATGATTCTCTCTCATCATTGATGTTTCTATCTCTCTCTCTTCCTCTCCCTTCTCTCTGAAATCAAGAAAATATATATATTTTTAAGTGCAGAAATGGAGTAAGGGATGAATTCTCCATTTTTGTTAAACATTTGCTCTGGTAGGCTACCCCACTACACTGTAGGATTCAATAGACCGCAGAAATGCTTGTGACATGTTTTCTAAAAGTCTCACCCACAGCTTTTTTGGTCCCTAAGTAATTCTGGCACCATAACCCATTAGTGTCTACTCTCTATACTCACTCAATTGGCTGTGGACTCATAGACACTTCATTCCAGGTAGTACAGAAACTCCCCAGAAGATATATGTATCAGTCAGAGTTCTCCAGAGATACAGACTAAATAGGACACACACGCACAGATACTATAACATATATGTGTGTGCATATATGTATGTATTTGTGTTTATATATGTATAGTATATATATAAACACAATATATAAGATTTATTTTAAGGAATTGCCTCTGATAGTTGTAGGGACTGGTAAGTCTGCAATCTGCA